ATTTTTGGAGACTTGCTTTGAAGATTTGCTCTCTGTGTGTCAGTTTGAATAATTGTGCTGTGCAAGTCATTTTAGTGTGTTCACAATTGGAAAAAATACTGCAATCAACCTATGATAAAGTATAATTGACCTATATAATAATAAAATATAACAAAAAACTACATTTTTTTTATTTTTAATTTATTTTATTTTTGAATTTGAATTTATTTTATTTAACAGGGACAAAGCTCATTAATAAACAGTAAAACTGTAAATAAGCCTGAGTTAGACCTAAAATAAAAAACACAGTGATAATATGTGTTGTATTCCAAAAATATCATAAAAAATTGAACAATAACATTTAACTATCTGTTCCTATCTGTTCATGTGTGTTGTATGTGTATGAGTAAAATCAAACTATTCTAAACTATTCTAAACTATTCTAAACTAAATTCTTTTCCTTATCTTTATATCTCTATATCTCTCCTATTTTCTTCTGTTGCTTTTACTCTGCCCACACACACACACACACACACTACCCACATGCAAATTATAGGGTTATTTATACCAAAGCCAAAGCCAGTGTTGCAGAAAGAACCCCAAAATAAGTTTTAAATAACACAGTGAAACCTTTTGTGCATGTGTGTGTATAAGAATGTCAGCGCACAGTTGCTCAGCTTCCCACAAGTTTATTGCCAGTAGCTGCTTCTGTTGTGTTGCTTTATTGTGTGTATTTATGTGTTTGTGTAAACTGTATTTCCAGATTATGACTTTTCTCTCTATCTCTATCTCTCTCTCACTCTCTCTCAGTGAGCTCCCAACAATTTAATTGAATGGATTAAATGTTCCTATGTAAAAAGGCCAACAAAACAAATGCTTTCCAAAGAATGAAAACTATGAAAGACACAGATTTCACTTGATCTCTCTCCTAATCTGCTGACTCTATTAATCATTTCATACTCCTTTTACCTATCCTTGTATCACGTCTTCCTCATTCCTGTCTCATTAATTTTGCATTCTTAACCATCCCATCAGTGTCACTTCACTGAGCTGTGACTGCTGAACACTGAACATCCAAAGTATGGTGATTAACAGGACTAAACTTTATGTTGGTTGACCAGTTTCACCAGGTTAGTCATGTTGGTAAACAGTTACAAACCAGAATAGACCAGTGTGAACTAGTCTGGAAAGTTATGTCAACCTAAGATGTTTTTGCTTAACCTGTGATTATGCATTGAAAACAGAAAATCTACTGTAAAATTGTTTACTTAATTTACTGCTTTACCGAATAAATAGTTGGAGTCAGAATTGTTAGTCCTCCTGAATTATTAGCCCCTGTATATTTTTCCCAAAATTTTTGTGTAACGTAAAGACGCAGAGCGGATTTGAACGCAACAACGGGGATCAAGTCTGGTGAAGAACGATTCCAGAAAGCAAGTACAAGACTAAAAACAAAAGCTAAAAAATAAAATAAACGAGAACTATAAAAACCAGGACGAGAATGTGGTAAAATCTAAAAACATAGCCAATCATTCAGTCAGTGGTCAGTCAGTCAACAGCGGCCTCTGTTGCTAATACGTGAGAACAGCAGTCGTGAATGGCACTCGCGAGAGAAATTTTAGATCTGAAAAAGTGTACACAGTTTGCGAAAACAAAAACTGCATAAAAACATAGTTCCTGGGACGTATTTTACTCTTTTCAGAAAAGTATATAGAGGTACGTAATCATAATGAGCCTGGGTTGAATAATATAGACCTTAAAATGTTTTTAAAAATTTTTAAAACTAGCCAAAATAAATAAAATAAGACTTTCTCCAGAGGACAAAATATTAGAAAATACTGCGAAAAATATCTTTGCTCTGTTTAACATCATTTGGGTAATAGTTGAATAAGAAAAAAAAAAAATCACAGGAGGCCAATCATTTAGATTTCAACTCTATTTGTCCAGTGTTTTTGAATTAGCAAGATAAAAAGTAGTGTGAAAGTAAAAATAACAAGATATTTTACATTGCAGAATCACTGAAAGTCCAAAGAGTAAAAATCCAGGTCACATTGCTTTTCCTTTCAAATCATTATCTCTCACTTTTAGCACATTAGCATGTGACTTTCACACGCGTTTTTCACACTTGGACTAGTTAGCCCTGAATCATTCTAAACCCTAAATTAACCTGAGTTATCTTGTTTCAAGTTTATATAGTCATGGGTATTTATAAATTGCCATTTCATACAGTTCTGTGCATTCTTTGGGTTCACATTAGGGGTGTGAATTAATACAGATCTCACGATTCAATTTGATAACGGTTATCAGGTCAGCAATTCAGTCAAAAGCACAATATGTAATTTTGTTTTATTAAAATGAATGTGTTGGGAAGCCAAGTTGATATTGTTTGACATGATTTGTGCTGAGCTGAGTTTGTTTTGACGCTTGCAGGTGTTAGCATACAATCATTAAAACAGCTATTGAAGTTTCTTAAGTTAGCGGTATTTCCTGCGTATTTTATTTGTGAGTAACACGCTTTCTATAATCTTTTCCAGTTCATGTTTGCCAGCATGTTCATAAAAGAGATTAAATTTTTTAAATATTAGGTGCATTTTTAATTATCAGCTTTTGTGTTTCTTTTTTCTCCCCCATTTATGTTAGTTTAACAAGCTAGCTTGACAAATGACATCACAGAAATGTCTGTAGGCTATGATCAATTATGGTCTAATAATGCATCAATGCAGAATTGACATCGTAAAGACAATTTATTTCATCACTTCAATTTATTTTACATCATTATTGAATATTTGTGGTGTCATTGATTTGATGATTTCAGCATTGCGCATTCTCAAATTGCCAACGAGTAAAGTTTTTTTCCCGTGTCTGGCCTTTTTGGATTATAAAGGTAAGTATAAATCACCTTTTCGCTCCAGTTCACTGTTTTCACTCAAATGCTGAACTTACTGCTCATATACAAAGCAGAATGTTGCAATGAGCGCTAAAAGATAAAAATGGAATAAAATTGGGGTTGAGAACAATAAACCTCAGTTAAACACATTGTGAAAAGCTCTAAAAATTACACCACAGAGACTGGAAACGTAGTAAGTGCAAATCGTTTAAAAGTAATACTTAAATGCAAAAAAAAAAAAAAGATCAGGGATAACAACCTGTCGCTCATAAAAGTCATTGATATGCAACTGTTTATTAGACCTTATACTTTGCCAAATATTTTTATTTTTATTTTTTTGGAAATTCATGGATATAAGCTATTATTTGAAGATATTGGGGGAAAGCTGAATTATTTTAAATAACAGCCTTCTTTTCTTTCTGTTCATCAATTTAAAAGATGTTTCATTTTTAACACTGCTAACAATAACAACCAATGTTTCTTCTCAATGATTTCTCTTATCATAAGACAATGAAGACTGGATAAATCAGCTTTGCAATCAAAGCAATACATATGTAAATATATAAAAACAGAGCACTAATTAAAAATCTAATTAATATTTCACAATATTATTGTTTTGTTATATTTTTGATAAAATGAATGCAGCCTTGGTGAACAGAAAGACTTTACACCAAACAAAAACTTTTTAATAGTGGCGCAGCTTTCTAAAATTTAAGCAAATGCACAATCCCATGTTATTTATTTTGTAATATATATCCAATTTATTTGGCTAACTGCATTTCCAACTCATTATCTGTTACTGTTTGCATGTTAGCAACTTACTGTTCATATACAAAGCGTGATTTTTCAATGAGTACTAAAAGATAATCCTCAGTTAAGCACATTGTGAAAAGCCCTAAAACTTATACATCCCAGACATTAGGAAAGTAGCAAATGCTTTAAAAATAATACATAAATACCAAATTTATTGGTATTAAATACCATTGTTCAAAGGTTCATGGGGAAAACGAAATTATTTAAAAGAATGTTCTTCTAAACTTTATGTTCATCCATTTAACAGACTGCTAATAATGAGCAATGATTTCTCTTATAATGTGACAATGAAGACTGGATGTTTCAGCTTTGCAATCAAAGGAATAAATATTGAAATCTATTAAAATGGAGCATTAGTTTAAAATAAATTGGATTAATATTTCACAAAATTGTTTTGTATTTTTGATCAAATGAATGCATCCTTGGTGAACAGAAGACACTTTACACAAATGCATTAATGAGCCCAATTAACCAAAAACTTTTTAATGGTTGTGTAGCTCTCTGAACTGTACGTTTGTTTCACAAAATGCACAATCCCATGTTGTTGTTTTTGTAATATGCCCAATTTATTTGGCTAACTGCATTTCCAAGTAATCATCTGTTACTGTTAGCTACTGAATAGGATCTCACAGACAGAAGTCCACAACTATTTTAAACAAAGAAACAAACAAACAAACAAAAACTAATCATTTAAATACTAAAGAATGATGTTAAGGGAAACAAACAGGCCCTCAATAAATGTCAGAAATATTTAGATTTTATTCAGAACACTAGGCAATTAGCATCTTATCAAAGAGGTCACACTTTACATTAATGTTTCATTAGATATTGTATTTACTATTATGAACTAATTATGCAGAATACTTGTACAGCATTTATTAAACATAGTTTTACATTTATTACTGCATAACTATGAACATCCACATTCATGCTTGTTAACAATAGTTAATACACCATGAGTTAAAATGAACAAACAATCAGCAACTTTATTTTGATTGACTAATGTTAACTAACAAAAACACTGTAATAAATGCATTCTTCATTGTTTGTCCATGCTAACGAATGCATTAACTAACCCTTTACTAATAAAACCTTATTGTAGAGTGTTACCAGATAACTGACTAGTTTGCAAAGTTAGTCATTGAAAAGAAACACTTTCTATGCTCTTTCACTTCCTCTTTCTCACTATGAATTGTCTCGTTTTTTGCAGCCACAAGTGAAATATCATAAAACAAACTGCACTTGATCAGCAGACAGACTCAAGAGCACACGACTAATCGTCTCTCCATTCTCATTCTTTCTCTTTCGCTCTGAGACTCACCACATGTTGCGCCGGCGGCTTCTCAAACATCTGCTTCAGGCTCCTGAGCGGGATGTCAAACTTCTCAATGCGCCTGTTCTCCTCCAGGTCCTCTTTTGCGTCCGCAGGCCTCAGGGTGAGAGGAGACGAGCGAGTGAACTCTCCTTCTTTCGACACCTCGGGTCCATTTCCTGATTGAGTTTCCATTGTTCAGGAAACCAGATATTCCAGCCTCCCCCACGAGAGCAGAAAAGAGGACCACGATTAAAAGACTGGACACAGAAAGAGAGAAGGAGAGAGAGAGAAAGCGAGAGAGGGATGTGGAGGAAGGAGTGCGTGGCACAGTTGTGGTGTCTAGGAGGCCGAACCAGACGGACAAACCGAGGACAGCCTTGAAGGAGGAGAAAAAGAAAGAAAAGGGGGAAAAAATGCTGCTGTGAACTCATGCTATGAGTTTCCTTCCAGTAAACACAATCACACACACATGGAGAATGCCAGAGTTAAGGGTTTCAAAGCACTGCAGTCGAGTAAAACATAATCACACACACAGACACACACACACACACACACACACACACACACACACACACACACACACACACACACACATGCAACCCTGCCAACAGGAAACGAACATCACCCCTGAACAAATCATGGAAACCTGACCACAGCCCAACTCACGGCTTTAACACCAACACCCTTTCCTTTCAGCACACACATATTTCCGAACAAGAGATTGCATCCTGCACAGACGGAACATTTCATAAAAGGACCATATTTAAATAAGGATAAATTACCTGAAAAATACAATTTGCTGTTAATTTACCAGCCTGATATCATGAGCAAATGTAAAAAAAAATTACATATTGGCTAAAAAAGTATTTAATTCATGCAATTTCATTCATTCATTTTCCTTAGTCCCTTTATTCATTAGGGGTTGCCACAGTGGAATGAACCAGCAAATTATCCAGCAAATGTTTTTACACAGCGGATGCCCTTCCAGCTGCAACCCAGTACTGGGAAACATCCATACACACTGATTCACACAAATACACTACGGGCAATTTAGCTTTTTCAATTAACCTATACCTATGTCCTTGGACTGTGGGGGAAACCGGAGCACCTGGAGGAAACCCATGCCAACACAAGGAGAGCATGCAAACTCCTTACAGAAATGCCATTGAAACTATATGGGGCGGTATAATGCCGTTATTTTTCGAGCTTACCAGCTGACCGCTTACCTTCATATGAACGGCTTTCCTGCCTGTTCGTCCAGTAGTTCGACATGTATGTTGGTGGACTTGAGACGCAAAGAGGAGTTGACCACGGCAACTGGGTTCGAGTTTGGCGAAGAACAGTTCTAGGAAGCAGATAAGACAAAAAAAAGAAGCCAAAAAATAAAATAAACAAGCAAATAACAGAGTGATAATGTGGCAAAATCTGAAAACGTGGTAAAATCAGTCAAGGACTTTTATTTTTTTGGATTGCTTTTTAAAACTGTTGGTTGGGTTTAGGGAAGTGGGTGAGCGGGTCAATAGGTGCTTTTGAAAACACTATTGATTGGGTTTAGGGAAGGAGGAGGTTGGGTCAGTCAATCGCTTGATCAGTCAGTCATTCAACAGCAGCCTCTGGTGGATTTACGCAAGAACAGCAGACACGAATGGCACAGAGAAATTTGAGATCTCAAAAAAAAAAACATACACAGTGGCCTCAGGTGGATTCAAGAAAACAAAAACTGCAAATAAACTTACCTCCTGGTATGTAGTTGGTGCTCTCCAGAAATGTATATAGCAGTATGTTTTCATAGCCTGGGTTGCTAATAGACGTCTAAGCATAAACGGCTTACCTAAAACAAAGCTAAATTTGGGCTGTCAGAGAAAATCTAATAGACTTCTAAGAATACTTTAAAACCAAATACACTAATGAATGACTACACTTGAGAAGTCTGTCTAATCCGCCTATTTGATGACTAGCCTAGTTTTGGACTATACTTAGATGCCTTTACTGACAACCCAAATTAAGAATTGTTTAGCCAAGATGTCTGTTAAATACAAAAAACGTATAAAGGCAAAACTAAATAATACCTGTAGCTCAAGGTGATACATGAAAGTATGTGCAAGAAACAGAACATTATTTACAACATTATGTTGCATACTGTCGCTTATTTTTATTTGTTATTAATCATTCATTTTCTTTCAGCTTAGTCCCATATTTATCAGGAGTCACCACAGCGGAATGAACCATCAACTATTCTGGCATTTGTTTTACACAGCAGCTGCCCTTCCAGTTGCAACCTAGTATTGGAAAACACCCATACACATTTGCATTCACACACACTCATACACTAAGGCCAATTAACTTTCTCCAATTCCCCCTTGTCTTTGGACTCTGGGGGAAACCGAAGCACCCGGAGGAAACCCCAGGAACATGCCAACTCCACACAGAAATTCCAACGGGCCCAATCGAAATTTGAACCATCTTGCTGTAAGGTGACAGTGCTAACCACTGAGCCGCCGTGCTGTCCTTTTTTAATTAATACTGCTTTTTTGTTTTTTTTAGTGGACTATACACTACTAAGAAGAAATGTGTGCAGTTTTTGTGGCTGATTTTAACCTTGCACAAATGACGTAACAATTTTTGAAAATAAAAACTATTGAGAAATTGCAAATTAGTCAAAATACAGTGATTTTATGTTAAAATTTACAACTGCAAACCTCAGAAAGGTGACAAAACAACTTTTATGGGAATAATACACGTTTTATATTACACAAGTTAGGTTTATTCAACAAACAGACAAAAACACGAACAAAACATTCAGCTTTTGACTTACTAGTATTAGTTGCCTTTCAAAATATATTAAACTTGTTTTTGTTTTGATAAATGTTTGATCAAACAAATTGTGCACTAACAATTGGAATTAAAATATCTTGAAAAGCACAAAGTTTTACTGTTCGTGTGTGTAGAGGTGTATTTTAGACCAATGAGATTTCACTGTGGGCGGAGCAAAATTGACAGAAGGACAAAAAAAAAAAAAAGAGTTTTTGCATGGAAGAGAGAGTTTTTATGGGTTGTCATTATATCACGCTGTGCCTCGTTAGAACATTGTGTTACTAGAATGCACATTTAAGTTTGTTTTTACAAAGAGGAATTGTTTCCTGTGGTAATCAACAACATACCATAGATGCTGTTGATAGAGCCTAACAAAAACAGCCTACTGCTGGACCGTATTCCACTGTTTATTTGTGAACAGTTTTATCACAAATGTCTATAACTAACAGGAAATGGCCATAGATGGATGGGTAAAGAGGAAAAGTAGAGAATTCTGTGATCGACATTACTTAAGTATGAAATGAAAACAACTCCAGGCAGGAGTCATGCACTGTAAAGCCTGATAAGTTAAGTTAACTCAAACTGTTTGCAGCAAACCATTTAAGTTGGAAACAAAATGGTTTGAGTACTGTAAACTTAAATATTTATATATATTGAGTCATATATTATTAGTGTTGATATCGTCAAACATTTAGAGTATTCTTAACTTAAACATTTTTAAACAAGTTCAGTAATCAGATCAGAATATGACTTCAGTTAATAGAACGAATTAAGTCTTACCAACTAGCTACTCAAAAGGTTTGGTATTGCCTCTAGCATCAGACTTAAGTTAACACCTAAAATATATACAGCGGGGAAAATAAGTATTGAACACGTCGTCATTTATTCTGGGAATAATATTTCTAAAGGAGCAGTTAACATGGAATTGAACCAGGGCTTAAATTGTGCCGGAACACGCTGGATACGGAACCTCTGAAATCTGATCCGGCACCTCATTTTACAGATCTCCCTCTTCAACCGCCCTTCTCCCCCGTCTGCTGTTCACTTTAGTTTTTTTCTCCCCAACCCTGTTTACTGCCATCCACGACACCCCTGCCTCGCTCACTTTCGTCCACGACACCCCTCCGTCATACTCCCCCACCCCCACCTCCGCTCCCCACTTTCGTGCGCAACTGCACTGAATTGAACCAACAGAAACATGAAAATAAAACAAAATAAAAAATCTATATTGGATTCAAGTCAGGGGATTGGCTAGGCCATTCTACAGCTTGGTTTTCTTTCTCTGAATCCATTTGAGAGTTTCCTTGGCTGTGTTTTGGATCATTCTCTCGCTGAAATGGCACCCTTGCCACCCTTCTTTTATCATCATCATCATCCTGATAATGTATACGTTGGACTGAAGGCACTAATATTAATTTACACTGATGAAGGGCAGAGAGTTGCTGAATAACTGCAGAGAGATTTCAGCTGCTGTCTGGGCTTTGACTGCCTTTCTAAACCTCCCTTTCTTCATGTGTTCAATACTTTTTCCCAGCATCATTTCATTTTATTACGTATAATTTGTAAACTAGTTTGATTTGTTTTCTTTGCACATATGGATGTCTTTGGTTTTTACCAAGCTCTAGTGAAAATTTCAAGTTAACTTCACCTTTAGAAATACGTTTTTTGAGAAAAATGGTGGCATGTTCAATACTTGCTGTAACTAATTCACTCATAACTCATTCGGTTTGAGTTCTGTTTAATATAATCCCTGTATGAATTACCATAATTCCTTTTTATTAAATCAAAGTAACTTTTAAACAAAATAAGTTTAACTAATTTCATTTAGTGATTTTCATTGCTAGGTTTTACAGTGTGGATCAGACAGTGAACGAATGACAGATTTTCACGTTCACCTTCTGATACAGACTGTAAAGCACGGTTGATGAGGCAAAAAGAACGAGATCGCGAGCAAGGAACTGGAGCGATAACGGGAGAGAGGGAACGACGGGGTCAAGTTAATGCAAACTAATGATAAGAGAAGTAAGACGCGTCTGTAAGGAGAGAGAGGATGAGAACGTCACAGAAATGCATTATTCAACCCACAGAAACACAGCTCACTTACAGTCCTGTCCACTCATCTTACATACTACACACACACACACTCCAGACACAGACACACTCCAAAATACACAGCTGAAGTTAACTCATTCATGCAGACATTCAGCTGTAAAAATTAAAGACATCTTGCATGAGGGCCAGATAGTCAAAACATCACATCGTGTGCTTTGTCTAACGATATTGTACATTTACACAACACTGTTTCACTGCTAAAAACTAAAAGCTATTTATTGAGGCTATACTGTAGGTTTCTGTCATTCGTTTGCACAGCAGCTTCGATTTGTAGCCCTGAAAATTCCATTACAAAGTAACATCGCCATCTACTGGCCTGGCATGCATAATATAATGTTTAGGCAATTACACTAGTCGGTTTAAGTCGGTTGGATCAATTTAACGGAATTTTCATCTGTAATCAAAACAATTCAAAAGCACAACAGAAAAACGTTTCCATGTTAAGTACGCTGTTGTCATGTAAATATTCCCTATACTTAGTAGATTAGCCAAAAGATGAGCCAAAAAATATTAATATTATTCATATTAATTAATTGGTTTCTTCTGTTGAACCCAGAAGAAGATATTTTGAAG